CTCTCTCTTTCTTTCGTCAGGGCTGGGGTGGGGGTTAACGCCCACCGCGCGCTAGTGCGCCCTCGCCTGTTGCCGGTGCCAACATGTTGCAGGCAGTGCACACTCGAGGGTTTGGACAGACAACAATCCACTCCTTGGCCCACGGTACGAAAAAGTGCAAACCAAACATACGAGCGTAAGGCTGCCTCTGGGAAAAGGCTGAAAGGTGCTGGCACTGCAAATGTCAGCGGGAATTACCCCGGGCAAGTCATGCGGCATCTAAAAGAACACCACGTACCAAAGAACACCAACCAAAGAGCCGTTCGTTGTAAAGGGGATCCCCTCCCAGCGATCGTGGGAGACACAGCTCCTTTGCAAAGATTGGATAGGGTACAAGGTGCGCGTTTGGGGCATGATAAGCCAGGATAGAATGGGGTTGACTCCAGCGGCCCGTCAATTTTTTTTTGCAGGGTCAAGAGGGGTCCCCTGCGCAAGTGGCCGGGTTGAGAGAGAATTGTGCAGGAGCGGAGAGAAAGAGAAGAGAGGGCGGATGGCCACAGTTCTCCCTTGAACCACTCACGGTTTGAGCCAAAATGTTTTCTCTCTCTCTCTCTTTCTCTCTCTCTCTCTCTCGCTTGCTTGCGGCTTCAGAGGGGAATACCCTTGGGCAGACCCCCCCACGCAGTGCGTGCAGCCCTGTCTCGACGTCTTCCAAGGTCATCTGCTTATTGCAGACCCCCCCGGCTCGGTGTGAAAAGGAAAGTACTGGTGTATATATATATATATATCTCTCTCTCTCTCTCTCTCTTCTTTCGGCAGGGTTGTGGACTTGGGGAAATCCCTCAGCCTTTCCCTCTCTCTCTCTCTACCTCAAGCACACTGTTCAACTGCATGGCTAGCGGCTAGCTCTCCCACCTGAGACGCCCGATCACGCGCCATTGACTCAACCCACTTTAACACCGAAGAACGGGCCATTCAATAAGACCATCGCCCGTCAGCCCAGCGAACCTGTCGACCTACCAGGGGAGCAGGTGGCGGCCCCGCCACCTGAGGGTGCCGACGGAGTGAAACCAGATCACTCGTCCCTGCCCCAGCCCCCATTGGCTCCCGCCCCTGCGGCTCCCGACGCCCAATGGAACCGGCTGGCTTTGGCTGTACACCCCGGGCATCACCATCTCAAGATGTTTCTGTGCTTTGTGTGGTCAGTGGATCGTCTCGATTAAGAGCATCAAGTTGCATGACCGGCATGTTCATCCTCAGGTATATGCTGACGTTGGGACGGCGGTTGCCTGCACGTGTAAAAAAAAGTAGGGCGCATCGTCTCTCCTTGAAAATTCTGTGGCAGCATGATATCACGCACAGATCTGCATGCTGGTACCTGTCCCGTGCTGTGGCAGGCGCGGGAAGCCTCTCTTGTTGTTGCACATCGCTCCGGAGGAGAGCGAACCTCGGAAAGTTATGGCGACGGCGGCAGGACGTCGATCTCGAACAGGCCTCGGTGTTTGGGCACTGGCTAGGCAACAAACGCTTCCCGGCCAAAGGTCCTGGGCACAACAAGGGGTCACAGCAGCATCCCCCACCCCCATCGGGGGGAGCCGGGATCCGACCAGGGGCAACGATCGATCAGGCGATGGTTCGGGCGAGCTCCTGATGAAGGTCGCCAAGGCAGTAGTGGCCCAATCGGACTATCTGTCCCGGATACAATCCGATCATACGATCATCTTTACTTCCAAAAACGACCTTCCACAAACAACCAGGACGGCCCTCAACAGATGGTGCCGCTTATGTTCACATGCGCGGCAAGCTGGCGGAAAAGACGCCAGGAGCTGTGACTGTGACCCGCTCTCTCAAGGTCACACTCCTCCAGTACCTGGTGGCGGAGCTGGCGACTCGTCTTCGAAAAGTTTCAGGCGGACAAGGCGGCACAACAACAGGCGCATCTGAACGGCTGGCTGTCCACGGAGCTGGAATTCCACTTCATCCAGTGGAACTTCGAAGCGAGGCGCATGGAACCCATGCAGGACGACAGATCTCTCTCGGAGTACAAGGGGGAGATGGCCACGTTCATCCTCTCGTTCTCGCTCCTCACGCCGGCTTCCACGGAGGCGATGCTGATCTTCAAGCAATGGTTCGCGTCAGCGGCCCTACTGCTGATGTCTCTGCGGCTGAAGCTTGCCTGCCCACAGCCGTCACCGCTCATCAAGAGATTCAAGAGGCGGTGGGATGGTGACGGGCCCGGTACTCAGGATGCCCACTCTCTCACCTGCTCTGGTCAACTTGCTTTTGCGAAACCCACACAACCTCTGCCATTTGCACTCTGCTGTGTACTTGCTTGCTTATGTGTGGCAGGCGCATCACCCGGACGGCCCTCCTAAAGGTGCCGTAGGCCTCACCTGGGCTTTCCATAAGCTGCTTCAACCGTGCCCGAAACCAACAGGTCAAGGTCTTGCTGGCGGCTCTTGTTGCAAGGCTGGACGAGGCCACACCGGCAACAGGACTGTGCAGAGCTCATTTGTTTCCTCTTAGAACGACATGACTTACCATTCATCACCTGTCACTGGGAAGCCAGACCGGTGCCGGGTTCGGTGGATTTCTTCAGGCCGCGCATTAGTGGTTCCATTCTTGTCGACTTGCCACGCCCCCGTAGAGACAGAGCTACCATTCAGGAGCGTGTGCATCTCTAGCATTATGCTGACCCTGCACAAGGGAAAACTGCATCTGCCTTCCATGCTAGGCCATGGCACTTGTACGTTTTCCTCGATTCATCAATGCTGCTCGCGGCATCAGGTGGATCCCGTACAAATTTATTGGGGGTGTCATCCACTTGGGGCCCATGCCCCAAAGTGGCCATTACTGTGTTTCTGGCTCATAATGCACACACCTCTTAGGAAATGCCATCGCACCGAGCATCGGCCTATGTGTAGGGATGATGATGTCCGCGCCAACGTCTGTCAGCAGGCATTCCAGCAGACCATCAACGAACATTGTTACATTCTGTGCTTTCAAGCTGTACCTGAGAATACTGATGCATCCAGTGACGTCTGACTCAGGTCGACTGGCATCTCACCTGCTGGGTCCTGTCGGGGACGAGGTGAACAGTTTCTTGCAGCGATGTGGGCAGAAACACTGCCTACAGCCCCAAATGGCCGTACCACAATGGTGGTATGTCGTACATAACCGCGCATGGGACAAGTACTTGTTCTGCGAGCTCAAATTTATTTGACTCTCTCCCTCTCTCTCTCTCTCTCTTTCTTTCTCTGATCCTACTGAGACAGCTCAGCTACTTACGATCAACAGCTTATTGGGCCGTCAGTGAACATTCCGAGGTTGCCCGCGTATGGGCTAATGCAGAAATGGGCATGCCTTCGATGCTACGAATCTACGACAACACCTCCGCCAACGGTTTCTCAACCCTCTCTTGCCGTGATATCTTGCCACCACAGCCCTGAAGTTACGGTTCCTAGGTAGCTCCCGAGGCCCACGCCCAATGCTCTTGGCTTCCTCATCCACGAGACCTGCCGCGGTTACAAAGATGCAAAGAGTCTCTGCCAATCTTCGGCTCGCCTACTCAGAGAAAAGTACAGTGGCCTTAAGTCTCAAGTCTTCATTGTTCAGGCTTCTGTAGTACGACGCGGGGATGTATAAATCCAGGAATGTGAAGATGCTACAGCACTGCATCGGCCCCAAGATCTACATTACGTGGCAGCCATCACGCACAGTTGACGTCAAGGGCCTACCAGCGAGAAGAACGCATCTGCACTCCTGCCGACTCGGTACACCAGCGACTTGTTACTTGTTAGGTCTTAGGAGCATATCCTCCCCCACTACAGTGCTTGTAGATATCATTGCCCTCTCGCTTCTTCACCTCTCTTGCCACCGTGCTGCCTTCACCAGCCAGATCCGTGAACTGACGAGCACGGCGAAGCGACCTATCCGGACCGCAAACAACGGACATGCAAGGATAACCAACTACAGCTGTAATGGTAAAGACCAAGACTTGGCTCAAGCGTGCAAACCTCGCCCAAGCCTGGCAACTCCCACTCCGTCCATCTACACACAGGTTCTGCCTGCTGTGACGGGGCCCTGGCGACTTCTTCTGCTGACGGGCTTCCTGCTGGGCCTGTGTCGAGGGTCGTCTCCGAGTGGGGTGGGCTGAGACCATACGATGGAGTCTTCCTGCAAAGATTAGCGGCTGTCTCTTTCGACTTGCAAGCCTGGGCTTCGTGGCAAATCCTCTCCACACAGTCTATATGTTTTGCCACATCCGACCCAACTTCAATTGATCCCTTCTTGACAGTGCCTTCTCTTCCTTGTTCTTCGCATCTCGCTCCAGCAGTGCAGCCACGGACTCGGGAGGCAGATGGGGCTCAGGAGCTTGCAGCCGCTGTGGCGGGATCTTGGCACACGAGCTGCTACTTTGAAGCACTGCCTCGAGACGGACGCCTGAAGCAGCTGCCTAAGGTCTTTGTCGTTTTTGGTGTGATCCGTCACGACCCACGTCAGTGCGCTTCATGTTCTACGCTCAGAATAGTATCGTTCGTGCGATGGCGATCCAGATCCGTCATAGAAGAACTCCACCAGAAGTTGCGTTTACCAGGGTTCTGGGAGACCTCTAGAAGAAGGCTTCCAAGACGACTCGTGCGAGTACGCTTGCGCCTTGAACCCTAAAAGGGCATTCCTTTCTACTGATCTTCGCACCCTTGCCTTGACGTTCTGGGACAAAGCCTCGAGGATGCCTGCGAATGTGGAGATGGACATGGGAGTTTCAGAAGTGGGGTATGGGGTACGGGTACCATGGGTATGTTACTTGGGATCTTGAAAACTAAGATCCTATTAATCAAGGTTCTGTATTAGGGTCCCTGACAACTGACAACCAGGGTTCGAGTTTATGCTCTCACACTCGGACACGCCCGTGTGAGCCAAAGATCGAATGGGAGCGATTCGGCATAAACCGCTGACCTGCCCATCATGACCCCAGCTGATAGACATGTTTGGGCCACTACCCACATGTTTGGTGGGCATCTTGGCCCGTCAGGCAACACAAAGAACTCCGGTTGGCATGGAGCGGGCAGTTGTATATCCAAGGCGAGCAGCAAGGACCTGAATCTTATGCTCCGCGGTCAGCCCATGAGATTTGGGAGGCAAAGTGTATCCAGGAGACGATGCAATGAGATGGCCTCTGTATTGTTCGCAAAGGCCGGTGACCAATGGCTTCGCCTCTTGACAGTTGTGGAACTCTTAGTATCACATGGTCGCACCTTACCCCTGCGACGCTTCAAGCAAGATCTATACATCAATGTGTCAAGTAGGTGACGGTATCAGTGCAAACATGATGCGGCTATTCCTGGAAGCAAGTGTGCTAAGGGTCGGATCGACCTACAGTTTCGAAGCCACGTTGACACGGTTTCCATATGGTCAAAGGAGACTGTGTCTATCAACCGGGAGCATCGTGACCCACCTGATGAAACTGGTGGGGCAAGGCTGCTGTCATGAACTGCGCGAGCCAAAAACGACACAAGACGCTCACACAACTGTCTCGGGACAATTATCCACACGACAACCTCGTCGCAGCGAATCTGATGCACCCGAGAGCTGCGCATTTTGCATACGAATCACGTCCAGGAGCTCTGACATGGCAGACACCTGTGGCGAAGCCCTGGCTCGACAAAAATATCGTCACTACATGTCCTTCCCATGTCTGAGACTGCATGATAATGATGAACTTGGAACCAACTTCCCGTAGTGTTCCAAGCCTGAGTTATTATGTACCTAGCTTGACATGCCTGATGGCACATGGCACGGTCGGGTCTCTAACTATGGGCCACGTGCTCCTTGCTGCTCAGCAAGACAGGACTCGTCGATGCTCAAGCTTCTGTCCTAGCCCACCCGCAGCATCCGACAAGCCTTTCTTGCTTGCATGCTTGCTTGCCGGGCGTTTGGGGATAGGGAAGCGTGCTCCCCACCCCCTGGGCAGCAGCGCTATGCATGGTTCGTGTCCGGTCTTCGACAGTCTTCTTCTTTCTTTCGCTTCGGCAGTCTCTCTCTCTCTCTCTCTCTCTCTCGCGCTCTCTGCCTTTCCTGTGCAATGTTTGTCTACCAAAGCTGCAGAATGAGAGTCCCACGATGCGAACTGCGGACCACCAGAATGCCAAATAAATAGGCAGGGTGTATACACATGTAGCCCCTGCTTGGACATAGCAGCAGGGACACTGAACGTTCCATCGCTTTTTTTGTTGAACAATCCAGATTCCTTCCCGGAAGCTGAGATTCGCACAAAGGCTCCACCGCCCAAACCAGGCAGCTGCATGCCTCCAGCGTGACAGTGGCTCTGGTTCTGCCATTGTTACAACGCCACTGCATTAAGGCTGTCAAAGACTCGAAGCCTCTCTCGCAGTTCAGCCCTTGCGAGACTTCACACTGAGCCGTGGGCTTCGCCCCAAGAAATCAAAAAGCAGTCCCTGGGCGAGCCGTCGTAAGCAACTTCATACACGCCGACATGCGATCGCCAGATACATGCATTTCGTGCTACGATACTGCGGAGCGTTTTCGATGCTTTCGGCCACTTGAGTTCTTGAGTCTCCAGCTGTTTATTAGCCCCTGACACTCTGTCGTTACCCTGAGTCTATCCTGTCCTGAACTTGCACTCACAAGCCTAGGTTCATACACTAAAATGTGTCACAGACTGCGCTGTACTTCCACAGGACCTCATAAATGGATGACACAAGTGGACAGAATCTGCACTGGCACTCTACAGTGGCTGCAAATGGCCTAGAGTACACAAGTTGTCACATCTTCCTGACGCGTTGCGTTTCATGGCGCGGATAAGGTCGCAACGAACACGTTGCATTCAAGAAGCTCCCAGAGGTAGATGTGATCCTGCAGCAGACAGGGGAGCCGGGCTACAATCCAAGCCCGAATCGGTTGGGGTGGAGACTTCTCTGCACGCACTGCCTAAGGTAGGAACAAGCTCCTGCCTGCCTTTGCACGGTTTCCAAGTCAGTACTCGGTTACTCGAAGTCTTGAGCATCACATTCATGTAGCTAGGCAAGCATCACACAAAGGATCCAATAACCGAAAGCCACGGCGGCCGGTCCATCGCTTTCACCATGGCCTTGACCTCAGAGACATAGTGCACACAACTGTGTGCACAGTTGAAGACACGCGTCAAGCGAGGCCAACCCTGTTGCCAAGCCCTTTAGTGAGCCTTGTCTGTGAAAAGTGACCTGACATGCCCCGTGAGAGCTCTCCGCAACCCTAGAAGGAGCCGATCACTTCTTTTGATTGGTCGCTGTCCGTTTTCCTCTTCCACGCCACATCAAAAGCCCAGGATGCACCAGACCGCGAGGGAGACAACGCCAGCAATGTTTGAACCTAGCGCTCCTTCTGGCATGTTCTTATCACACAAAGTCTGCGGCTCTGGACGACTTTGGTCAGTCTGTCGGCACAGGCAGAGACTTCTTGTGCCCCGGGCGAGGCGCACGGGTGCCAACTGCAGGTGCCGATGAGGTGCCGCGAGGACCAAAGCCGTGGCCTCTT